CGAGCAGCCCTCGCTCGCGATCGGATCAAACTCAGGCCCATCGCCGCCGTTGGCGAAATGGGTGCAGGTTGTCCAACCTAGCCGTCGCCTAATCTCCCACCATCACCCCTCGGGTCGTCAAGTCGGGGGGGGGGAAGGGGAGCCTGAGAGGAAGTGGAGGGGAGGGGATGGGATCACCTCGGAGCCAGCGAGGTCGATGAGGTGCATCTTGCCAAAGAAGTTGCCGCCCTTGAGGAGGTCATGGCAGGTGACGTAGACGGAGAAGACGCAGTGGGAGCGGCTGCTCTGCTCGTTCATCTGCGTCGAGCTCGTCGAGCGATTCTTCATCCCCAGCGCGATCACACGCTGAACGTCCTGAGGAGGAGGAGCGGTCACGGGTAGGAGAGCGGCCGAGGCAGGAGAAAGAAGGGAAAGGAGGGGGAGGAGATACCTCGAGATCTTGGACAGTGACGAGCTTGAGGTCAGGGACGTATGTGGAGGAGGTGGAGGAGGAGGAGGGATCAGGTTTGACGTCCAGTCGCTTCATCTCCCCCTTGGAGTCGTGCAACTCCAGCAAGTCCTTGAGCTGCTCGTTGTAGATCTCCATCAGGCTCACCTGCACACAGTCAGCTGGAGATGAAAGCTGGGAACGAGCTGGACCTTGAACTCGTACTTCATGGTGGTTCGTCGCTCGAGGGCGAGGCGGAAGAGCATGTCAAGCGCGCGGTAGTTCACGCCCCTCGCCTCGCTCCTCCCCTCCATCGTGTGAGTCTTTCCGCTGCCTGTCTGCCCGTACGCAAAGATGCAGATGTTATAGCCGTCCATGACCTGCAAGGCTGCTGAGTCAGAAGAGGCAGGCAGAGCAAAGGAGGAGGAGAGGGAGGAGGAGGAGGAGGAGGAGAAGGAGGAGGATGGGGGAAGAAGGCAATCTGCTGCGAACCGAGACGACAAGAGGAGCAGTCTCTTCGAAGACTTCCTCCTGCGAGGAATCGGAGGAGAAGATCTTGTCGAAGCTGAAGTTGGAGATCTTCCCTCCCACATTGAGGTTCAGCTCTGTGTCGGAGGTGCACTGGATCGCGTTCTTCTTCCCGCTCTGCTTCTCTGACTCCGAGATCTGAGCGCCAGTCAAGAGAGAGCAGGAGGAGGGAGTGGAAGGAGTCAGGGAAGAGGGGGGAGTCGAGGAGGAGAAGGCTACCGGACGAACTCGGCAGAAGACTCGGATGTTTCCCTTGAGCTCTTGAACCTGCGGCATGTATGAGAACAGCGATCACGTTCTGCCCCTCCTGCTCCACATCCCCATCCGTCTTTCCTACCAGGTTGTGCAGGCGCCGCCTCTCAGCTACTTCCTCCTTGAACTTCAGATTGGTCTCGTCCAGCCCTGACTGGATGGAGCTGGCAACCTGAAGGATGCTCTTCTCCAGCAGGCCACCAGCATCCTTGAGCGATGGCAGGATTGAGCTTCTGACATCCATCACGTACCCTCGGAGCGCAGCAAACTCCTCTCGGATGCTGCCAAGGGAGGTCTGGACCGAGCGGATGCTACCTCGCAGCCTCCTCGACTTCATCTTGCCTCTCTGAACCTCCTCCTCCAGCTCCAGCTTGAGCTTTCCCAGCTCCTCCTCCTTCACCTTCATCCGGTCGCTGCTCGCTTGCTTGAACTTGTCGTGCGACTCCTCCATCTCTCGCTTCTCTTGCTCCAAACACTGCGATCGTTCTTTCTCCAGCAGATACTCCGGCTGTGCCTCGATGTCGACGGGGGCCGAGGAGGACTCCATTCTGTCCCTCATCGCCCTCTTGAGCCTTTTGATCGCCTGCTCCACCAGGTCGTCACTGTCCTCGTTGACCTCGCACACGCCCATGCTCTTCACGTCCCCGCCGCTGGCCAGCAGGTCGCAGAGGGAGGAGAGCTCCGCCACGAGCGCCTCCATCTTCCTCTGAGAGGCCTCCTGGTCACCCTTGCCGGGCGAGCTCTCCTGAATGTTTGGCATCAGGTACTTCATGCTCATCGCCAGTTCGTCCTTGTCCTCAGCCTGCGACATCTCCTGGTCGGGTCGGAGGTAGGATTCATCCAGCATCGAGTCGCCGGGGTCTCTGCAGTCCTGGAAGCAAGATTGACGTGCCATGCTCTGCCTCAACCCTTCTGCACAGTCCTGGAAGCCACTCTCAGACGCTCTCCCTGCCATGCTCCGCCTCATCATCGCTCTGGTGCTGTCAAACTGTGGAGGAGGAAGCATCGAGTCCCTCGGAGATCGCACTTGCTTCAGCGTAGGCAACTCAGGTATCCATGGGCCAGATTCAGCAGCATCAGGGTGCGAGGACGATGAGATGTTGTCTGTCTGGATGTCTTCTTCGCATGTGATGTAATCGTGAATCCTGAACGTGTCTGTTTCAAGAATCTTCTGTTTGCGAACTATTGCGCTCCTCCAAACAAGCCTCCCGTCCAAGTCCTTGAGCATGTATTGATACACGATTTCAAGGGAAACGGGGAAATAAATCTCAATCTCCCAGTTCCCATCGCCATTTCTCTTCATCCTCTTCGCTTTCTTCTCCTCCCAGTTCCCCAGGTGCTTGGAGGATCCTGTCATGTACATTTCAACTCCAACGTCGTCCACTTGAGGGCGACTGGGAGGATGATTCACGCGAAAGATCACTTTCGCCAATCTTTCATCCTCATGGTCAAGTTTGGCTGCCATGCCAGCTGAGCTCATTAGCGCCTGCGTCATTCCCTTCTCTACGACTGCGATGGGCGTGCGAAGGAGGTCCAAGAAGGCCCGGTTCCTGCTCAGACATGCGTCAGAAGGAGCTGAGGACTGTGACTTGCTTTCATCTCACCCATGACCGGGACTGAACATCTCGAGAGTGTCTAGAACGGCTTTCCTCGGGCTGAACAAGGGCGTTTCCCTTGCTCCTTTCCCTCCCTCCCCTTGCATTCCACCGTTGCAAAACCAGAAATTCAAAAAGGTGTGTATGGTTTGCCTACCGGTCCATTTAGGCTGTTTGTGTCGATTGGGGTATGGTGGGTGGGTTGAATTTCACGGTTTAGAGGGCCCGGCCGGGCCCGCCGCGCCGATTACTCGAGGCTACACTCGGCAGCTGAGCAGCCTGCGGGCCGGGCCCAGCCACGGTGCCAGTGTACGGTACGGTACCAGTCCGAGGCAGAGTCCGAGGCCGCGGAGGCGCGTGGCGCGCGGCGCCGGCCGCACGGTGCCACGGTGCAGGGCACTCTCGCCCTTGCGGCGCGCGTCCTGCATCCTGTTGCCTGCCGCACGGTGCCCTCCCCCTCAGGGCCTGGCACAGTGCAGGCCGCTCAGCCGCTGCCCGGCGGCCGCGAGAGTCCGACTGTGACGGTGACTGCCGCTGTGCGGCGGCGCCCGGGTCCAACCGGGTCACCGGACCCATCATCCGAAAGGCACGGTGCCATGATGATCGGACCCGTCGATTCCTTGGAGCGGTGCTGTCAGACAACTTGCAAGTTGTTGCTAAGGCTTAATATCGGCAGAGTTCATGCAGTTCAGTTGATAATCACTGATCTGGCCTTTCAAAGAGGTCGACAATCTTCAGAAGCATGAAGCATCGCTCGATGCTCAGCCTGACAAACAACCAGGAAACGACAAGGCTGAGCGTAGAGAGACGATTCAAGTTCTCAGTGATGGTATATGCATTCTATTCCTTTTGATGGTACAGTACATCACTTCAGCGATCTCAAATTAGTGGCGTTAATCTAATTGATGCATCGAGGCTTGCTCCAGCTTGTTGTGTTGTAACACATCATTCAGCCAAAAACCAAAAATCACAACAGTCTATAAAATTCTTCAATCACAAGAGAAGAATCTTATTTGACAGAGGTTTCCAAAAATCGTGTGTAAATTAAAATCGTTCGGGAAGTGAAGCAAATTCTGATTGAGACCTTTCTCTCTCTTCTTGGCTAAAACCAACTTCTCACTTCATTCGAACCTTGCCATCATCAATGATTGCGTTTCAAACCCAACCTAGTTACTCCAAGCAAGCCCTCACGAGCCTACATCCTGCGGATCATAGACTCATACTGCATACCGTGCCCCGCACATGTAGGGAAATAGGTCATGTCCTAGCCGACAGCAGTAATCTGTCGTGCTCGTTGTGTTCTAGTAAACGCAGCAGTGATTGCTCTAGTGCTCTCCCTTATTCCCGGAAGGTTGTCTGTACAACATTGTTCTTGCTCCTCAAAGAATTCCTTGGCAGGCTTGAAAGCTCCTTGCTGCCTAGAACTACATCATCGGGCTTGCATGATGAAAGAACAGGGCAAGTATCTGACAATTCCACCAACAAGTTTCTCACTTCTCTAACGTGAAGGGGGACGTTGTGATAAACACAGGTTTCTTTACAGAGATCATCACAGTATTTGTAAGTACATGGATGTGCACGACATGCCGTCTTCCTGCAATTTTCATTTCCTACACTTGTTCATTCGATCTCTTACATCTCAAAGTCCTCCCACACCTCTCACCCTCACTTCCTGACATTGATCAGCACATGTCACAGGGTTCATTCACCATTGCAGGGAAAAAAGACGAGTACAAAAAAAAACTGCGGATGGCTAAAAATAACACCCGACGGATCCGACGCTCCGACTGGCCTGAAACCTATTGTTATCTGACGGCTAACTTTCAAATTTTGACTTATCAATGTTTCAAAATTTGAGAGCTTTTGGATGAAATTGAGTTATGCACAGATATGCGGACGTGGCCTTTTCATGCCTCTATGACCCGCCGCCACCCCCCCCC